GTTTATTGGTGTTGAAGTAGAGCAAGAGACGAGTGCACTCCCTCCTAAAAAAAATCCTGGATCCGCCCCTGAGCCGTTATGTAAATATCCAGTTTGCCCCATTGTCCATACCTTTAACCAGTTTGTGCCCTTTGTCCCATTGTTCAGTGTGTTGCTTTTGAGGTACATGTGCAACTCACCCAGGTTACATGTATAAAGCCTGGTTCTCATATGCTGCTGATGTATCTGCGACATAGCCACCGGTACAGCCTGGGACACGTCTTGGACGAATGAGAACATGCACCCCCGGCAACTGGAGCCATCGCAGAGCTCTACCGCTGGCGTGCCTACGAAGTTGAACTTGAGTCAACTTTGCAGGCATGCCAGGGGTAAAGACTGGGATGAGCAATGTTGCCGGCCACTTCTGTTCTCATATCTGAACAGTATCCCAGGGAGTACCGGCAGCAGGTGGCATGTAGGCAAGCATGTAGCAGGTGCATCGGCAGCATATGAGAACCAGGCTTTATAACTCTATTGAAAATGTGACCCCATTGTAGTCAATCCAGTCATGAAAATGCTACCCCATCTAGCGGCACATCCCCATTAGCCTCTTATAAGGAAGTACCCCCCTTCCCCATCCCTTGGGGTAACTCCTAGCGCCTTTGCTGACTCAATCGCTGTTAGGCTTGTTTTCACTTGTGACAAAGTCAGTGAGAGTCATAAGCACAGTTGTTAGGGCTATCTTTCAGTAAAAATATAAAATCAGAGTCAGAAGCAGAGCCATAGGTATGACAGAATCAGAACATTCCATAGCACAGTTGTTAGGGTTATCTTTCAGTAAAAATATAAAATTAGAGTCAGAAGCAGAGCCATAGGTATGACAGAATCAGAACATTCCATAAAATTCTAAATCTGCTTAAGGTTTTATCTCTGTTGCTTACCTGTGCAATGTACTGAACACTAGATTCTAGAAAAATTCCTCCATGAATAAGCCCCTCCAAATATAGGCCACCCAAACTCGTAATGCAAAAAGACTCCTCTGTTAAATTCCCCCTCCGAATATAAGCACCTGAGGGCTTATACTTAGAAATTGCCTTAAACAAGACAAAAACTGGTACTGTAACACGTAAATATTTTTACTTGCCAACAAACTATTACTTGTGCCAAATGATTGCAGTAAAAATGTTTCACAGTTTATTCCTGTTTGTGTTGTTCACTGTTCACTCTTGTCTTGGATTTGTTCGTCCATAGACAAAGTACTTGCAAGGAAGTTCTATTCTTCCATCCTGCACCCAAATTCCTTCTGGTGTATTGCATTTTCAGTGAAGCAATTTGTGGTTTTAATTTCAGTCGCGTGGCTGAGTTTTAAAAAGAGTCTACCTCCTCAAGACGTTTTCAGTAAAAATTTCTGACATAAAGTTTCTTCCAACTGTAAGCAAGCCCAGTTAATTCTGAGACACAAATTTTTCTCTAAGTATATAAGCCTAGCCAATTTTGTAATTCACCATTTCTCTCTGTATATAATGTACCTATCAATGTAAACCCCGTGGGGGGGGAGTGTGGGCAAGGGGTCGGGATTTGACAAATTTTAAAATTTTTTGATCAAATTCCCCAGGGTGGGAAACGAAAGGTCAATCAAAAGTGTCAAAGAAAACCCCACCCTAGGGGAAAAATCTAAACAAACAATACTATAATACTATATAAAACGAATTAAAGAACATTTCAAAAGTACGTTCTTACTACTTTTTTTTAAGGTTAACGTAAGCTCCGTTAAATTACTCGCTGTAATTAAGTATTTTCTCTCTCCACTAACATCTCTTATTTTGAACAACATAATCACTCCAGGAAGATTGACCGTGTAATTATATTAATGAAACGTAAAACGCTTTATAACATCGGCTCAACATGTCGGAATAGGTCGGATCAGTGACTTGCAAAAAATCCTCTGACTTTCATGGTAGAATTCGATTTCAATCGAGGTTTACAATCAGATGAGAACTTGAAGATAAAAGCTTTCTCAAAATAGACATTATCTGTTTAGATGACAGTGAAAAGTATCGGATTATGGCGATTAAAGGAAATGAAAACTTCATAACTTTCTCCAACAGCATGACTTTCAGAAAGCCTCTAGGGATGGACTTGGTTATCGATTCTGAATTGATACCAGGCTTCTATCGGTCAAAGTCAAATGTCCTGACCCCAGGGTCGCTGCGCACGATCAAAAGCCCGACAGGGGATAGTCTCAGGCATCAAATCCCCTCCCTTTGCCCGCACTCCCCCCCCCACGGGATTTACATTGATAGGTGCATAAGCCCCTCAGAAAGGGCCTTTGAAAAGTATATTCCCTGGGGCTTATTTTCAGAATTTTATGGTATAGGAGTTGAAACCGGAAACAGACTGATAACCAATCACAATGTTTTTCCATGCTTTGTGAATGATTTAATTTTTTTCTGCCTCTGTTTGGGAGTAACATGTACAAAATTATTATTACGTGAACATTTTTGTGGGCCCAAATTTTATGTATCCTGAATGGGGCTGGTGTCCCTTAATAGAAATGTCCCAAAGGAGGGGTGCCACTGTAGATTGTAGGTGAGAGAGGCATTGGAGGAATCAGAATTTCTGTTTTCACCATATCATACAGTATAATTGTAATAATGCTCTAGATGCTTCTGATTATGACTTGAATTCTGATTCTGTTGCTTGCGAAAGCCAGTTGCACATGGTGGTTATCCCTGCACATAATGGGGGCACTGAAGTGTCCAACCCAAACCCAGTGATTCTTTCATTATTTTTTGTTAATCAAATAAGCTGATGGTGTGACAGAATGATAATGAGTTTAAAACAGAAGGAAGGATAGAAGCAAGGATAGAATTGAACCGCACTGAAGGATTGGATTGTTTGACAATTAATGCAACATCCAATTTGCATTCTGACTTAACTTTTGGTGAATGTGAAAAATGTAAAATTTTGCATGGAGCTTAATGCACAGGTCAATAAAAAATAATGCTTATGGAGTACAAAAAGGGGCATAGATTCACTTTTACTGCAGTGTAATTTTCTGTGGTGGTGGTAGATTTGACCAATTTTACTGTGGCTACCAGTTGCATTTGCCATCAAATGAGTTTTCAGTTGAAACCCTTATAAGTTTTCATGGACATCAATCAACTCTTTCCATGGTTTTTTCACTTGCTTCTCTCATTGTTCCTGTTTGAAGGGGAAAGACATGCAAGAATATTTTTTGAATTAACAAGTCTTTCAAATTTTATGGAGATGATACAACCGAGAGGAAAAATCTTTGGAAGGCACGTGTTATTAGTACCACAACTGCAACGGCCTACAGTGTATAAAAGTCCCTAACTTTGACTGGTGCCTTTATTAAATCTTGCAGGCTTCCGTTTGAGTGCCACGGTTGATCAAAACAGGTCCAATGACAGTGGCAATGGTTTTCATGTAACTGTTTACTTTGATCGTGGCAAGATAACCTCAGCTCACTGTTCATGTGACCAGCCAACAAACTGGTGTGTGCATGTTATAGCAACATGTTTGGCAAGAATAAAGGACAAGAATACTGTGACAATTCGAATGCCAGTCTCTGATTCGCTTAATTTTCTGGATCGGGATCAGTTGATAAAATTTGCCCAGTACCTTCTGTATGAACACCAGAATGAAAGTATTATTGAAACTGCGCAACAGCTGCTTGATAGGCTGTTGTCAAAAGAACAGAAAGGGCAAGAAGAAGACATAAATGCAATTGCAGGTGCACCTGATCCCACTGCTGGTCCTGGTAAGGCAGTCTATCATTATCACCATCGTCATTATCATCATCATCATCATGCTTGTTATTTTATTTATAAAATTATTAATACTGTTAAAGGCTAAAAAATGTTTTAAAGGAAATACATTGTAATTATAGCTCTGGAAAAGCAGCACAATTGAATCTAATTTCTTTTCCAGTTGGTTTGCATTTTTGATTTCCAGTGCATTGGTAGTTTTCCCCAATATATCTTGTAGACTCTGCGATTAGAATAGTTATCACAAGTTAAATTAATGCAAAGTGAGTTTTTTGAACAAGAATGTAAATTATTAAGAGGGAAACCAACTGAAAGCAGTTTAGTTTACTTTCCAAACTGGTCCCTTTTCTGTTTGCGAGCAAAGCTTAAATATATGCAAAAACACATCATTTGTACATGATTATGTTTTTTGTTGTGCTTGACTTTATTAGGTCTTGATGAAGAGGCTCACTGGTTTGTCTGTAAAAGTGGATTCCAATCCAGGTGTAAAAACTTGATGTTTGGATCCAATAAAGATCTGGGCTTTCTCAAGTATGTTGATGAGGATAATGATGTTGAGAGTTCTGTTAAAGAAGTGTGGGAAAGAAACTGCCTTCAACAGCCACTTGTTAGAGGTAACAACTGTTTATATATGTAGTACATGTATATAAAAATATAGTTTTTGTCTTGCTTTATGTGGGTAACTGGAAATTTTTAAGGGAAAAGGGTGTCTAAAGGCTGGAACATTTAAAGCAAAGTGCATGATTGTATTAAAGCTAATAAAACTGGAATTCCCAAAGGGGAAGGGGAGCTCAAACCAAATGCCTATGAGTTAGGGGAGTACTGTATTTATTTGATTAACCGCCCTGGGTGCTTGTTAAATTTTTGGACTTTTCCAGTTGGTTTGCATTTTTGATTTCCAGTGCATTGGTAGTTTTCCCCAATGTATCTTGTAGACTCTGCAGTTAGAATAAATATCACAAGTTAAATGCAAAATGAGGTGGGCGCTTATTAAATTTTCAACATTTTCAGCAAGTGTAGTACATTTATTTTGCAACAAAACAATAAATGGTAATATAATAACAAAACGCGAAGATTTAACAAAGCAAGGTTTTTGTAAAATACTCTGAAGAAAACCTTTTGGGGGGTGGGAGGTGGGGTGGGGTGGGGTGGGTGCTTATTCGAGGTGGGCGCTAATTCGAGGTTGGGCGGTTATTCGAATAAATACGGTATGCTGAGTGCTTGAAATAATAGCATGTCAACAGACAATGTTCAGTCAAAATTATAGACTTTGTTCAGACTCAAATCTTCCAGGATCAGACTCTGTCTCCAGTCATTTATATAATAATATTGATGCTTCACCAGCTTCTTACCTGTAGAACTTTTGATATGTGAGGGTTGTAGAGCTGGGAGAACTTTTTCTTCTTGATCAATTCAAGTTTGGTTTACCAAATGTTTGCATACATTGTATATGTTATTATTATTTATAATATTTTGTTGATATTAACAAAAATAGCATTTCAGTTCTTTGAAAGAAATTTTATCATTATTAAAAATTATAGTACCTGCAGGGCACTATGTAAATGATCCCCCTTTCCTCCTTAAAAGTGAGCCCTCCATGCTGTGTCCCCCTTCACTAACCCCGCAACCTTTCCAGCACCTTAGTTATAGTTAAGTGAATGGCCGTGGTTTTATTTCTTGTTTTTAGATGAAATGGATGTACAGCTGGATGATAGTCGCTATGGTTACTCAAAGACATCCTCTCGGCAGCAAAGCATTCGTCAAGTCCTGGAAACCATAGCTGATATGCTTCAGGATGATTTCATGAGTGCTGTGTCAGCTCTGACAGTGTGCACTGAGCAACTGATTCAACGATTAACTGTGCTGTGCAAAGTGAACTCTCCTAGAAGTAGATACCATACACCAAAGCCAAGAAACCAGAAACCTAAATTAAATTTAAGACTTTGCGGATCCCAAGCAGGAGGCTTTACCCCAAGACTTTCAGAGTAAGTGCAGGGAACCAAAATCATTCATCTTTTCAAGGCATTTGCTAAAAAAATCTTTACAACAAAGAATTCATTAATTACGATGTAAAAACAATAATTATATAAACATCAATGACAATTATTAATTTATCATTCTTCTTATTTAAGCTGTACAACAGTCAGTGATGAACTCTCTCGGCTTTGGAGATTAGCTGTCCTTAGTCCAGGAATTTCAGTAAAAGGGAATGAAGAAGTTGTTGATCAGCTGAGGACTTTGAATGAAAGAGGTACTATTAATAAGTCTGAACTCAATAAGAGCGAAGAAATTGCTGGTAGAAATAGGTCTCCTGGATGTTGTATGTTGTTGAAACATTTTGCTTTCCTGAAAAACATTTGCTGTAAATATTAAATCTAGGGCTTTGACTCGGAGTAACTTATTGATTTTTATGAACCGCTGATTGGCCAACATTCACAACCATTTTTCTTGGAATTATGTATCGTTAACCAGATTGGTCAACTTTGTCTATATAAGTGGCCCTGGTTACAGTTGTCGCACTGTAATACTAGTAAATACAATGTTAAAGTACAATTAACTATGTAATAGGATAAAAACCAGCATTTAAACTAATCATGCAATCCTAATAAAAAATAAAATAAAATATAAAATGAAATAACTATAAATATGGAACATTTACAAGCTTAGTTAAAAAGTACTGTTTTCAATCAAGTTTTGTTAATGAAATAAAATCGCTGGTAATTCTAATTACATAGGGTAAATCATTCCATAGCTTCAAAGCAGCAACCACAAAGGCTCTGTTGCCAAGTCTTGTCTTGAGATAATGGTGACAAGAGAAACTTATTGTTTGTCTTTATTTCTTTTTGTTATCATATCTGAGAGGTATTTTGATGCCATATTATGGATCACATAGCCTTCAAAGTAATTATAGTAAGGATCTTGAATATAAGCTCACGTACCTTTGTTGACCTATTGGGAGGAAACTAGTGATCTCAAATAGTAGGAACTTCCAGTGATACACAGACTACCTAACATGTTTATTTACAAATCCTGTGTGTGGCTTTGTTTTTAGTTTCTGTAGCTTTTGTGACTGGTCTGCTGCACCCATGGCGTGGCCTGGAAGTGGCCATGAAATTATCCTCAGTCGACTGGAATTTACCTGACTTTCAGCAGGTACTTAAAGGACAGTGGACTAACCTCCCTGTTGTAAGCAGCTGTATGGCTATCCAGTTGACATGCCAATCAAAGAGTACTTATGTGTCAGAGTTGATGGCGCGAAAGCGGTGCAGCAATGATGTCCGTGCTGTGACAAGTACAAAGGATGATTCAAACATCACACTTTCATTTTACAGCCCTCACTGCATTGCATTCAGCTCTCGTTGCAGCATTGATATTCACTCAGTATGTTCCATGATCGAGGCTATAAATGCTTCTGGCCATCACCGGCGTGCCATGTGCCTCACTGTGGCAATATCATATGCTCTTGTTTCATTCTACAAGAAGGTTCTCTTTGGACTGTGTGATGCCTCATCAATGCCTGTGTCTGCCAGATGCTCACTAGGGACTGCACTGTACCAAAGTGGCACAAAGGCAGACAGCAACAAAGAATCTGATTGTCCTGCAGAAATAGGTGTTTCCAGCAACAAGCCATGCACCAGTTCCATTTGGCCAGAGGATACACTTTTGGCGATTAGTACATTTGCATTCCTTTTTGAGTTGTTGTCACAAAAGCCTGACTTAGTTGATGCATCCATTGCAAAAATGAGAACCAAGCTAAACCTTGATAGTTGTTCTTCACGCGACAGTGCATTTGACTGTCCAAAGTCAGCAATGTCTCTGAAGTTTCAGCTTGGAGTAGTGGGGTTGTTTCTGCAGAGGTTGCCTGCATCATCTCTTCACCATGAGGTATAAGTGTAAGGGAGTGTGATAGTCAATTTCGTTTAGTTAGCATACCACAAGTAAAATAAGAAATGCTCCAAGTCAGAAATATTTAACAGTTATCGGATGAGGCTGAGTATAATGTGAAGAATTATGCAGACTAAGGGAGAATGTTATGGGCTAAGGTGGATAACAGCTTCCAAGATCTGCATAATTCTTAAAATCATGCAAAATCCAAATTCAATACTTATTTTATTCTGCATTCAAACATTTCTAAGCCCTTAACAAGCTTTCCTCCTCGTAAATGTCCTTTTTCTTATCCTATGTCTCTGCACGGTTTCAGGATATAAACTGATGTGTTTTCTTGCAGATACTCCTCAAAAAGTAGATGAAATCCATCGAGCAATATGTTTTGCATGTTCTTGCATTTCTTCCGTTCAGTTTTAGCCAGACATTCGGCTATATCGTCTTCACATAGCCGTGGACGCCATTGTTTTTGGTTCACTGTTACCCATTAGCAGTTTACCTATTGTATAGACTACAATTTAACCAGCAACGTAGAAATTAAAGTACTTTGCATTTAGTCAAGTGTTTATGAGGTAGACGCTATGGAATAACTGTTCTGCATGAGTCTGGGAAAATTACCTCAGTTGAAGTTAAAATTTGTATCTGGCATGTTTCACTTGTACCTTCATCAATTACTTGAATTATTGACCGTTTGTTCAGCCTTGGAGCTTTTTTCTGCATTCTGATTCGTTTACTGACCATTTCGTTTGTCGGGTGGGATGAAATGAGATATCCAAAAAACTATGAGTAAAGCAATTAAAACGTAACATTGGACAATAAGCGGCTTATTTCTAGTAGGTATTTTCTGTTTGTTTTATTTTCAATGTAGGTGGAAGAGTACCATTATGAGTGCTGGCTAACCTACCATCTGATCTGCTGTAGTCCAGCAGATACTGACCTGTCATTCCTCACACGTCTTGGACAACACGTCTCTCAGGGAGTTGCCACGCCCAGTCCAGCACCTCAGTCATCGCTATCACGGGTGATATTCCACCATCTTTTTAAAAGTGCCCCTGCAGCACTTAGCAAGACTCTATCAGAACAACAACATGTAGGTCTCAAAGCAGCGCTTAATGTCTTGTCTCACGTCAACAAGTTCACGGTTAAAGATAGCTCTCCCACATGGATGCTTTTTGAGTATGCAAATTGCAGACTTTGGGCGAAGTTAGCAGAAGTTGTTCTTCGCTCTCTCGCTGACTCTTCAGAGCTTTTGGATGAAGCAATGCGTTACGTTCTTCAACCCAACGGAATGCTTGGTGCCCAGTCGATGGACAATGTGTCAGTTGAAACAACGTCGAGTAAAGTACTGTCACGCTTGCAGGACGTTGAGTTGTTATCTGGAAAATGCCGTGTGGCATATTGCCTGGGACGGGTGCTTAGCGACAAACAGGGTACCTCTATAAGAGTTACGCAGTATAAGGCACAGCATGTTCGAGGCACCATGACAAAAGGAGAGAGTTCCGAGCTGGAAATTCCAAGGAAGATACATGTAATGAACTCTGAAGTGGAGAAGGCTTTGAAGCTCTGTGCTGTTCAGATTGTTGCGCACAGTCTGTGGTTACAGGGGTTCAGTGATAAAGATCACATGTGTCAGGCTGATTCTGTCAGGTACCTGTTTTGATTAATTGTAAATGGTGTGGCTACTATACACTGTAGCTACACTGAAATTCCAAAGTACAATTTAAGTGAACATGGTGCCATTTTCGGATGGGACAATCCCCGCCTCCCTCCTGTTTGCAGATGACAAAAATGGAAAGGTCCTTTTGGCGGGAATCTCGTCGATCAATTACTTTATAAAATTTTCTAATACTTTAACATTAAAAGTTGTTGGTTATCTTATCGTTTACTGATTTCCCTTGCATTTAGTCCTAGGTGGCTAACAGATCTTGTGGTCAATACTGGAGTTGAAAGTCTTGAATGCCTTGTTCAATGCAAGGGAGATGTAACTACCATCCTCAAACAAGGCGACCTACTGGATCTTTGCGAGAAAGTTCTCAGGGTGAGCCAGTGGGATTGTGAAAGAAACAAAAGGATTGGGGTTTAAGGGATGACTGAGATGGCGTTATCGTGCTGAAGTTTTGAAGAATTCAAAGTGACTTTTCAAGTGGCATTGTAGCCGTCATTGCTGTCGTGGAATTTTTGCTTTTTTCTTTAATTTCTGCAGCTTGGTGGATGAAGTGGATGTGCTCAAGTCGAGCAGAGTCAAATAAAATTTCTTTTGTTACCCTTGTAAAGCTGCCTATGCCTCCGACCTCATTTTCCTTCCATTGTATAAAAAAATTCTTCGAGTGTAACAAATATCATGTTGTACTTAAATGTTAAAATAGTTTTTCACATTTATCATTTACAGAGGCTTGAGCCAGAGACGCAAGTAAAAGCCAATGTGCAAAACATTCTAATGTCATTGTTACAAAAGGCCAGCCATGGTAAAGCAGAAGAAGATATGAAGAGCATCATATCTTTTTGCAGGTACATGTATGCACGGCAAATTACCATTATTCATAGTTCCCTCTAAGTGTCCCCAACTTCCAGGTCGAATTGGCGTTTACAAGTCAGCGCAAGGTTACTAGGAGGAATTCTACAGTTTTTGTGCAGAAATTCTCAGAGAAATTCCACAAAACTATGCTTGTTTTTGGTTCACTTTTAAGTGAATACTGGAGTTTTGCCTTGCCCATGACACAAAGTGGCAGCTCATTTGTCCTCAAAAGACTATGATTTACGATTGGATCTCGTCTCTTTGCAGTCAGTAAAACTTGTAATAAGCAAAGGTTAGGAAGTGCGGGCAAGATAAATGCAAGGTGTTTTCGGCTGATTGAAGGTCAAAACGATCGTGCTCAGATTACGAGTGTTAAAAGATCTAAGCGCGTGATCATGGTTTTATGCATTCCATTCATTCTTAGTCGAAGTCCAATCAAACTTAATGCTGGCGTATGCTTGAAAGCAACCTGAACGTAAGGATTGCGTCTTCTCTAGATCTGGTCACCCACAGAAATAGTTTTGTATCGTAGTTTTTTGGTGTTGCGGACAGTTGCAATCACCAAATTACGTAATACAAAAGACTGAGAATGACACAAATACCCACACCCCAAAACAAAAGCGAACCAACAATAGTTTCTGTAACACCAGATTCAGTAATTGCTGGGAATTGTTTATGGCTTGAGAATGTGTGTAATCCCAAACACTATAAAAAAAGTTCTCACGTGATGCTAGCTTGATATGTAAATCATTAATTTGCTCAAGATAGCAGTCTGCCAAAAGGTTGGTTAAAAGCTATTTTTCAGGTCTAAATGATTATTGTTTAAAATATCAACTGAAAAAAGAAAATCATCTAGTACCGCATGTTTGCTAGACGGTGCAAATGCTTATTCGTTCGCGGCGCTCATTCTGTTATTGCGCCCTTTTAAAAAATATGGTGATTCTTGAACTGCGTTCAGCACTTTAAGGATCATTTCTTTACGCAAACACATTTTGACATGCATTTCTAATACATGTGTAGAGGAAGGCGATGTGACCTGCAACTGGATTTACTGCCATGGATTTGCACAAGAATTCAAACCCTCAACGACAGTAAGTCGTCTGTGCCGTTTGAAGTGCTCATGGATGCCAGCCATGGTATGCTGGAACATTACAAGGAAAGACGGGCGAGAACAGAGATTGAAAAAAGGAAGAAGAAGTCAGAAGAAAAACTTAGCAAAACTAATTTGTTCCTTAGACGGCTTCCACCAGGGACAACTGATGTTTACTTACACAATTTATGTAGTGGGTCAGTGAACATTTTCATTCTCATTCATCCCTCGTCATCCCAGTCACCCCTTGTCATCCCGCTCATCCCTAGTCATCCCTGTCATCCCAGTCATCCCTTATCATCCCAGTCATCCCTAGTTATCCCAGTGGGCCCAGTCATTCTTAGTCATCCAAGTCATTCCTAGTCATCCCCAGGTCATCCCTAGTCATCCCTGGCCATCCTTAGTGATCCCTAGTTATCCAAAGTCATCTCAGTCATCCCCAGTGGATTCCAGTCATCCCTAGTGGATCCCAGTCATCCCGCTCATTCCCAGTCATCTCAGTCATCCTTGGTTTTCCCCAAACATCCTTAGTCATCCCGGTAATCCCTAGTCATCTCAGGTCGATCTTAGTCATTCAAAGTCATCTTAGTGATCCCTCGTCGATCTTAGTCATGTCTAGTCATCCGTCGTCATCCCGGTAATGCCTAGTCATCCCAGGTCGATCTTAGTCATTCAAAGTCATGTTAGTGATCCCTTGTCGATGTTAGTCATGTTTGGTCATCCCTAGTCATCTGGTAATGCCCAGTCATCTCTAGTGGCACTAGTCATCCCAATCATCCCTAGTCATCTCTTGTCATCCCAGTCATTCCTGGTCATCCCTAGACATCCCAGCCATTCCTGTTTTTCCTGAGTCTTCCAAGTCATCCCTAGTCATTCCTAGTCATCCCAGTCATTCCAGTCATCCCAGTCATCCTAGTCATCCCAGGTCGACCTTAGTCATCCAAAGTCATCTTAGTGATCCCTAGTCGATCTTAGTCATTTCTGGTTATTCCTAGTCATCCTGGTCAGCCCTAGTTATCCCAGGCGTCCCTGGTCTTTCCTAGTTATCCCGGTGATCCCTAGTCATCGCCAGTCATCCAAGTCATTCCTAGTTATCACGGTTATCCCTCATCATCCCAGTCATCTCAGGTCATACTTAGTCATCTCAGTCATTCCGGTCATCCCTAGTCATCCCTAGTCATCCCGGTCATTCTCAGTCATCCCTGGTCATCCCTAGCCATCCCAGTCATCTCTAACATTTCTAGTCATCTCCGTCGGCCCTTGTCATTCCTGGTCATCCCTTGTCATCCTTTAAGTCTTCCATGGTCATCCCCGGTAGTCCCTCGTCATCGTTTGTCATTCCAGTCATCTCTACTCATTTTGATCATCATTGGTCATCCCTAGTTATCCCAGTCATCCTTTGTCCTCTTTAGTCATCCCAGTCAGCCAACTCATTTCTATCATCATTGGTCATCCCTAGGTATCCTAGTCATGCCTAATCATCCCTTGTCATCCCTGGTTATACTGGTCATCCCAATCATCACTATTCATCTCTAGTAATCCCAGTCATTCCTGGTCATCCGAGTCCTTCCAGTCATGCCTAGTCATCCAACAATGCGACCATAGTCATCCCTACTCATCCGAGGTATCTCTTGTCATATCAATCATCCCTTTTCATGCTACTCGTCTCTAGTTATCCCATGTATCCCCAGTCATTTCATTCATGCCGTGTCGTCCTAGTCAGGATGACTGTGATGACTAGGATGCCAAGGGTGACTGGGATGACCCAATCCTATGTCATTCTAGGTTTCCTTGTCATCCTTGTCATTCCATTCAACTTTGGCATCCGAGTCATCCTAGTTATTAGATTATTTTAGTATTGTGACGTCACAAACATTTAAATTTCACAAAAATGTGATTGACTGAGATGTTTAGAAAGAACGCGATTTAAACTGTCCATTTCCAAAAATTTGGCTGGTTAGAGCAAATTGGTGGTGGGATTTAAGCAACATTTCGCTCTGATGACTGTCTGTAAATCTTCTAAAATTGACCTGGATCGGAAAAGGTACGTTTTAAGCTAATTTTTGAAGGATTTGTTTGGAGTCATCCAAGCACCCTGGTGCAGTTTTCATTTTACTTCTGATTATCCCACCAAATTCAGTAGTGATTTAAATTTAGTTTTAGTTACGTCATCATTACTCTACTCTTATCCTAATCATAAGAGGTATTTCAATTATCCCAGTCTTCCTACTCATCTCAATTATCTTATCATTCCTGTCATCTTAGTCAGCCTTGTTATCCTAGTCAGCCTAGTCATTTAAATCTTCCTAGTCATCCCAGTTAAAACTAGTCTTCTCAATTATCATCATCATCCCATCCATCCCTGTCATCCTTGTCATTCCAGTTATTCCAGTCATTTTTGTCAGCCAAGTTGTCTTAGTTATCCTGTTGATCCCAGTAATTCCGTCATCCAAGTAATCCTAGTCGTCCCATTCCTCACAAAGGGGAGGTTTGGATAATGTGGAATAGAGGAGCAGCAAAATAATCCTTTTTTTGGACACTCTTTCCTCCACAGATATGGAAGTATTGTTTCCACAAAGGCTGTTGTAGATAAAGAAACGAATGAATTTAAAGGTAATTCAATGCTTTTCCTTTTTTAACGTCTTGGACTCTTACATGTAGGTTAACAATGCAATAAAAGCTGCCCCCGTTTAATCCATTTTGGCTTTACAAATGGGAGGCCGACCTCCATTAACAAGGCTCACATCTAATGCCGGTCCATTTAATTAGAGTTGTAAGTATTTGATTGTGATCATCCACACTTTCACACGTCAGCTCGCTCGTAAGGATCCACTGCGTTTCCACCACTTGTGACGTCAGTACAAATTGTCACTGACTACTTTTATAGCCTTTTTATGTGGGAGGACAAGGTCGGTTTTCTTATGACCGAATGCGTGGTATTCAACCAAATACTTATAGAGTAGAAAACTACCCAAACACCGTATTAAGTCGACCAATAAACGGGGATGAAAGAAAAAGAGAGAGAAATAGAAAAGATTGATATCTGACTTTGTGAAAACCATGAAATCTTTGAACCCAGCTGTAATGTTTCACATTGTTAAGATAGATATCAGTCGTTGTATCCAAGCTTAATAATGGTTTCTTATTTCTAACAGGCTATGGGTTTGTGAATTTTGAGACTGCAGCTGAGGCCCAAAGGGCAGTGAAGGCCTTGAAAAGTAAAGGAATTCAAGCCCAAATGGCAAAGGTGTTAGGCCTCTGTATATAAGCAATGTGTCATCCTCCTTGAATATTTAAAATCTTTTCACTTGCTTGTGTATGTTTCCCTTGGCCCAAACTTAATAGGGAGCATAATACACTATATTTGCCCTAGTCCCCCCTCCGCCACCAAAAGTTGTTTTTTTCATATGTTCTTGGGGTTTTGCAGTTCTCCCAGGTATTATTTGAAAATAACAGCTAATGCAAGATTTTCGGGGGGAGGGGGCGAACAGTGTGTATTTAGGGGGATTTGAAAATAGAAATGGCGAAAGGCGAATTACAAAGATCACCATCATTTTTGATGGTATTCATTGCTTTTATTGTTTACCGTTCTCCTTTTCATGTAAACGCAATGCCTAATCTTTCTAATGGATTCTCTTCATCATACTGACTCTTTTGGGCTCTTTCATCATTGAATTCAGAACTAACAGTTGTATTATCTTTTCTGTCTTTGAAAGCCCAAGCATGTCTGTAACCCTTAAATACCGATTATTATTGCTGCCTGCGGTAAAGGCTGTGTAGACCCCTGATTAGCACGCACATGTAAATGCAATATCAGCTATCGCTCGAACAAGAATAATTTAGTACAATACGTTGTTACCTTACAGCATACATTTGTTTTCTCCTTAGCAACCAGAGAAAGACCCCACAAATTTATATTTTTGTCGCCTTCCAAAGCATTTCTATGAAGCAGTAAGTCTGAATCTTACTTTATTCTGTGTGTAGTTGTAATCTTTAATGGACACGGTCTCTGTGGATTACGCAACAAACATTATTTTTTCCCACTCCAATGATGATGTTTAATTACTGCTCGTTTTATGAACCTTAACGTTCGTGTGACCTGAACCCTGTTCTTCTCCAAAGATTGTCAAAATTCAGCATGACAAGCCGTCATTTTGGATGTAGATTACAGCCTCGTCCTCCTGTGCGTGACATCCTTCTGTCTAATTTTGCGGAACTTAGTAAAAAGAAAAAGAAAATGAAGATTCGTCAGTTGGGACCTTACTACAAACGAAATTATCCCTTATCTACACAAAAGAAAATTTGGAAAGTTCATCGATAGCTTTCTAGATTGATCGGGAACTCTTCAGTTTAGTGAACCTTCAAACGAAAAAAGTGATTGGCGATCTTGTCTAAGTTGATGACTTCTTCTAGATATTGGTGGATTACTTGTGTCTCTCTGTTTATGAGGGTGGTGGGGAGGGAAGCAACCACACTGACATCGCAAAACATTTATTATGAATGTAGCAGTTTATCGGATCTGCAGCACCTTAGCGTAAAGGTTTCCAAAATGGCCAATCCTTTCTATCAGAAAGTGTTAACCATTCTAGAAAAAATAATGAATTGTTACTGTTTTTGTTCTTATAAGGAATTAGAATCCTTGCTAGAGGGATATGGTAAAGTAATCACGACCAGAGTATTGAGAGGTGCCTACCATGTGAGTAAAGGAGTAGCATTTGCAAGGTAATGTGTGTTTCTCTACTCTGCTTTAAATTGGTATGACTCATTTCTGTCTGGTCGCAAATAACGTATACTTATCGGTGATAAGACTTCTGACGACTTCAATCTAAACTGTGGAGTCTCCCAGGGCAGTTGTATGGGGCCTATTTTATTTACTCTCTACGTCTCCCGCCTCTGTAACATTATTTCTCAGCACCTCCCTTCCGTCCATGGTTATGCTGATAACACCCAGATTTACCTCTTCTTTCGACCTTGTTCTATCCATTCGGAAATTAACGCTCTCTTTGTGATTGAAAAGTGAATCGTTGATGTTCGCTCTTGGTTTATTGGAAATCGTTTAATGATCAATGACGCGAAAACTGACTCTCTAATTATTGGCACCTCGTCAACAACTTGAAAAAACATCTATAGAATCTATTATCATTGGTGACACCGTCATTAAACCTTTAGAAAGCGTCCGGAACCTTGGGTCCTGGTTCGATGCTCATATGCGAATGAATGTTCACATAGGCAAGATTTGTAGCAAGGCTTTTCACGGAGTATACAACATAAGACAGATCACAAAATTCCTTATCATGCAATCCACAAAGACACTGATCCATGCCCTTGTATCTTCGCACTTGTTTACTGTAAGGCACTTCTATTTGGTCTAGCTAAATATCAACTTGATCGTTTACAGAAAGTACAGAAGGCCGCGGCTAGAGTGACTTTTCAGATTGCGAAATTTGATCATATCACACCCGCTCTTATCGACGTACATTGGCTTCCAGTAATGTTTAGAGTTCAGTTTAAATTGCTCCTTTTTGTTTATAAGTCAGTACACAACCAAAGTCCATCCTACATTAAAGATCTTTTATCCCTGGAACCAGCTGCTAATTATGCTCTTCGTTCGTCTGCACAATCTCTTCTGTTCATTCCAAAAGTCAACTGCTCTATACTTGGGGATCGGGCCTTTGCTAATGCTGCACCTGTTTTATGGAACTCGCTGCCATTAGCTATAAGAACAGGGAGCAGCCTCGCAATTTTTAAAAAGCAACTTAAAACATTTCTTTTTAAGAAAGCTTTTAATTTGTTGGAATAGTTCTAATGTTTAATTTTAATTTAGTTTGGAATTTTCGAATTTCATTTTAGATTTTACCATAGCATAACATATTATTGTTATTATTATAGCTTTCAGGGATTTTCAAATTTCAGTTTTATTTATTATTTGTTCATTAATTTTTACTTAATCTAAAGCGCTTTTGAATATTCTTCTATAGTTTTAGCGCTCTGCAAATTCATTATCATTATCATTATTATTATTAGTCTTCAAAAACTCGCAATTAAAGCTGAACCTCTCGTTAGCGACCAAAAGGGCAACATGCCAATATTTAGTGTTCACTTAAAGGAGGTGGACGCCTGAAAAAAAACAGGGTATCTCGTTCAGAGACTTTTCGGATACTTCTTAACTTATTCGAAGATAATAGGCCCTTTACAGCAAATCATTCACGTGGAACAAAACCCCTATGCTGGAGAGCAAGA